GTCGGACGCTTAACCGACTGTGCCACCCAGGCGCCCCAGAAAGTGAGTCTTTTATGTCTATAATGATGGGACTCAGGTGCTCTGATAGAATTATTACCAGAGTGTGAGACAGAAAAAATAGAAACCTCTTCTAAATTAAATAGGTCATTAAAGAACATTTGCATAGGATAATATTCAATATAAAAGGACTCCATAGAATGTATTATAAAGTTCCTAACATCACTTTTTATAGATCCTGCTATGAAAATTAGACGGTAAAGAAAATCCCATCTAGAAGTACTCCTTTAGAGAAGTCTTAACATCCATGTTTGAGGAGAATTCCAGAAAGATATACTTGATGGGTTTTTCAGAATCTGATCAAGGGGTGCTTCTGTTGTTGCCCTTTTTAAAAAAATTATGAAACATTCCAGGGGCACCTGGGTGGCTCATTCGGTTAGGTGTCCGACTTCGACTCATGTCATGATCTCACGTGGGTTCGAGCCCCACATTAGGCTCTGTGCTGACAGCTCAGAGCCTGGAGCCTGCTTCAGATTCTGTGTCCCCTCTCTCTCTGCCCCACCCCTGCTTGTGCTCTGTCTCTCTCTGTCTTTCAAAAATGAATAAACATTAAAAAATAACATTAAAAAATTATGAAACATTTCAGGCATTCAAAGAAACACAGAAGAAGAATAAAACAATATTATGTACTCACCACTCAGCTCAAGTAATCAAGCATTATAAATATAATCGAATGGTATCTTCTTTTTTCTAATGAGAAATCTACCATTGAAAATATAGGATTTGCATGTCCAAAAATCTCCTTTTCCAAAGTTCCTTCCATCTAATATGTTCATTTTTCCTTTGTTGCCATAGGGTACCAAATAGCTATAACTGGCAAAATGCTCTAAATACAAATCCCTTGCACTAAAGATGGCTAATAACCAGCAAATGTGTAAAGCAATTCTCAACAGTAGGGCAAGATTGTTGATATTTTAATTCACTTTAATTATTGATATTTTAATTAACAACTGTCCTGGCCACCAACTCTCAAGGCTTTTTGTCTTCTTTTTGAGAAAATGTTTTTCTAAATGTAACAAGAGTAGAGGGCAAGAACCACATTACCTGTCAACACTGAGAGCGCAGAGATTGAGGACGGTGATCCCCACCGAGGACTTCTGCAAAAAGGGGAACAGCTTGCAAAGAAATACGCCAAAGTCATTGTGATCAAAAGGCCAGCGCCCAGCCAGCAGCTGAAAAAAGGAGACACCACGGTAAGAAATGACAGAGCTGGCATGGAATACATGGACACTTACATATCTAATGATCTTCCAAACTTCTAAATTTCATTATTCATTATGCTTTCCAGTTAGCATGGCAGCGATAGAGTATTATTATAATTAAAAAAAATATTTTAGGGGCGCCTGGGTGGCGCAGTCGGTTAAGCGTCCGACTTCAGCCAGGTCACGATCTCGCGGTCCGTGAGTTCGAGCCCCGCGTCAGGCTCTGGGCTGATGGCTCAGAGCCTGGAGCCTGTTTCTGATTCTGTGTCTCCCTCTCTCTCTGCCCCTCCCCCGTTCATGCTCTGTCTCTCTCTGTCCCAAAAATAAATAAACGTTGAAAAAAAAAAAATTAAAAAAAAAATATTTTAAAGCCGTAGCATTTTTTTAATCTGGGAAAATGTTGAGAATGATAAATACAATAATAGAAGAGATGAACCTTTGATCTTATGTGAAGTAGTCATACTGCCTACTTTTCAAAGAGTAGCAAAAGGTTAGGGTTTGGGTGACAGCTTGAATGAGAAGCAGGCAGTCATTTCTTACCTATTTTTATTAAACCGTGAGTAAAGCTTGTTTTCAAGTAGCAGCGCTGGAAGATTATGTTATCTCCAGACAAGCAGCAAAGGCTCTGAATGCGAGGTTATGGAGAATCCTGGGAGAAGGAAGTGGTTTAGGATGCACTGACTTGTTAGCTGGTTAACACCCTAAAGTCATTTTGAATTTAGCTTACAGGGCTGATTCTGTTTCACTAAGTGTGTCACAAGTGGCCTTTCTTTATTTAGGCTTAAACTTCCCTTTATCATATGGAGAAAGGTGGTTACTGTGATCTGTTTGTGGCATTTGCAGGCAAATCTATTCTATGTTGACAATTTAAAACCTTTGTTGGAAGGAAAGGATGGATACCCTCTAGTGGCTGCGGTAAGTAGCAATAATATAAAGTCCCCTGTGAGTTGCTGATATTTATCTAATTAGGCATTATACCCAAAGCATGGGCTTGAATAATAGCTCAGCTACCTAAAAGGGAAGTCCCTGCTGAATACTTGATGTCTTTTCAAGAGTAAAAATGGTATTGATTTCCCTTCTAATTTTTGCTTAGTAACTCAGAATTGAAACCTACTCCACTCATTAGGAAACACTATCCTACTAACTTGATAAATGGGGCTTTTTTCTCTTTTTTTTTTTGCAAAGTACTTATTGCCTTAGTAACTCTGAGTTGAGCTTTGAATTTCTGTTCTGTCATTTCTAAAAGACTATGTAAGGCTTAATTTCATGGTCAATGTGGCCATTAACATGATACTCATTTTGAATTTAGCAATATAGGGCACTCTAAAATCTTCTTCCTCTTCTTCTTCTTCTTCTTCTTCTTCTTCTTCTTTTTCTTCTTCAAGAGCACATGCACGCAAGCATGAGTGTGGGGGAGGGGCAGGGGGAGAGAGAGAATCGCAAGCAGGCTCCACACTGAGCACAGAGCCAGACACAGAGCATGATCTCCCGACCCTGGGATCATGACCTGAGTTGAAAGTGACAGTAGGACACTCAACAGACTGAGCCACCGAGGCACCCCTAAAATCCTATTTTTATGGCTAAGACCTTGTATGACTTATTCCAGAAATTCTCTCTTAAACACTTAAAACACATTTCCTTTTCTTCTGAATAGTTTGCTGAAAGGAACTTGTCCTTAATCCAACTTTGTCTCTCATCTCTTTTTCCTTGCATTCTGATCAGTCTTGGTGGGTGTCTTCTTAGAATTTCCACATACACTTTTTGTCCAAGAACAATTGATGGGCTCTTCACAGAAACATTGCCCTAAACTCTGACAGTTTTCATGAAGCTAACAAATATTATACCATTGCTGACTGCTGGTTGTTAATGCTGATGCAAGACACAAAACACTATTTCTGAGATGACTCTTCCCCTATAAAGAAAAGAAAACCTGAAAACTACTTTTTATAGAGTTTAGTATTTTGTCCTACAAGTGTAATTCTCCACTGAAGTATTACAGAGATGTAAATGAAATGTGTAGGGATTGTTATAGGATATGCTTTGGAGTAATTTAGCTGTTACAGTTGGTTCATTTCAGAAACAGAGGATCCTGAAATCCACATAGATGGATTTCCCAATTCACACATCCAATAATCAGAGAAAAGGATGTTTCTTGCTTAACAAGGGAGACTCTGAGGTCCTGTGAGGGAATAAATGACAAGTGCTAAGAAAAATGATACAGAAAAAAACACAACTGAGCATGTATTCTTTCTGGCCCTTGAGTTTTTTCCTTTTTCATGCTTGCCAGATGGGGTAGATACAGAGGAAGGACTGAAGGGAAAGATACTATAGAATTGGTGGGCACCAAAGAGATCATAGAATTGTCTTTCTTTGACATAAGGAGATGCTTTGTTATGTATGTTGTTATCTTTTCTTTTCTCCTGGAGTGGACCTTGATTCTTCTTGGGAATTAAAGACAAAGGGAAATGAAAGAAATCATTGGAGGAAATTTCCGGACAATCACAAGGAGACTTCTAAAACCTATATCCACTTCATTCTGAAAGAATGTATGGAAAGTAACTGTCCTAATGTAGCCAGGGGAAATTAGGCCACTGCCTGTGGCAACTTCTTCCTTTTCTGATTAAAGGTGGCTTCCTCAAAGAGGCCCCCATTAACTACCCGGTCTCAAACAGGTTCTGCTTATTAATCTCTTTCTTCATGGAACTAGTGTGGGGGTGATTTTACATTCCAAGTCTCAGCTCACTCTGTTTTAGCAATAAAGCATATACAAAAAAAGAAAAAAAAAAGAGGGAATCAAAGAGGCATAGAGTGTAGCTCACCTATTTTTCTCTTATTTAGAAGAGATATTTTGGAACTTCTGAAAGACTGCTGGGAATGCATCCTTTCTGTTATTTACTAGCATTTAAAATTAAAAACACAAGATTTAAAATGGTAAAAAGCTGTATAAAAACATGTAATGAAAAGCAAGTCTCCCTTAAAATCAAGGCCCCTAAAATCCCTGCCCAAAGGCATCCATTGTTAATTGTTAAGTGTGTTTTCTTCCAGAAAACTTCCTATGCCCTTAAAAAAAAAAAGTGGGAACATATGGAAATAATACTTTTTAACAGTCTTTTATGATCTTTTTTGCCTACTTTTTTGGTAAGCAGTTCTATTGTCTAATTAAAAGGTTTGGATTTTTAAAAGCATATCCATGAAAGAATTTAGACTAGGATAGGAAAAGATAGGCAACTGTATAAGATAAATCTTATAGAGCAAAAGAACTGGTTGATTTCATTAATGTTAACAAGCTACTATCACTTCATTGAAAGAAAAACCAAACTAGTCTGACAAACAGACAAGTTAGATTGGTTCAAGTGTTAACTGGGCACCTTGGGGCAGTCATAGCTTATTTTTGCCATATAAGGGCCTATGCTATTATGTAACCCTCATATTTATAACTTCCAAGGACATCACACAGGTCCTAGCACATAGTAGGTGTTGAATGAATTAATAATCCCAACTCATTAACTGAAGCCAATATTTTCATATTTTTAAATTACTACCACTTTTGCCCTGAAAATACATCCATCTTGTAATTTACTTTCTACTTAAAAGTTGTTTATCAGCATCCCAGTGTAGTATTTCCATTCCTCACGTTGAAAGAAACCACACACCTGTGAATGAGTTGTTTGAGGAAGTGGGAGAATACTGTTCTATTTAAGACTTCAGGTTAAACAGGAGCTGCCAGAAACTCTGTACTTGGAGACCTCTCAGTCTGGGCTGTGATGAGACTATCCAGCCTGATAAGAGCCACAGAGCAGACACTTGAACATGATGTGCGTCCCATGGTCTAATCTCATTCTCAAGAGGATACAGAGGAACACCACAGAACAATCGCTGAAGGAGCAGAGGGCAATCTGCTGGGTATGGATTTTACTGAAGGATCCTTTCCTTGATTCTAGCCTGGGGGATTTTCTACAGTTGAAATATATGTTGTTAAAGTCCCTGATCATCACCTGAAAACTCAAATACCTCTAAAATGGCAGAAATGAATGTATACATTGAATATGAATGTATATGTATGTATGTGTGTGGTTGATTTGGATTATGTCAAAGTCAATATAAAATTGACAGGCTGCATTTTTAGCCTGTCAAAACCAGATTTACCTAAGGACTTGTACCACAAGATATGCTCATAAGCACCCTGTTTGTAGAACGACTAGATCCAAAAGCAGGATCTCTGTCCACCACTATATTTAGTACAAAGCAATGTCTACTGTGTTGGGATGTTTTAGTTATGTGCAATGTACCTGTTTATGTCAGTTTTCTGGAACATAACAAACGGAAAGTAAGCAAAAATGTAAGAAGCCCATTGGTTGATGTGAAATTTATGCCCTAGAGCTCATGTACTTTACTTACAGGCAAACTGCTGGACTCTTCACTGCAGGTTGATTTATTCTTTCTTTATACTCAATGCTATAAAGTTTAGCTTTTATTGTTCCTTAGTCCACTGCACATCCAGAGCACCTCACTACTGGGAACTCTCCAGAGTAATAGTTCTCAGTCTTGCCTGTACATTAGAATGATTTAGGGAGCTTTTAAGAATCCCAGTACCTGGGCCATGCCCCTAGACTAGTACTTCTCATCTTGAGGCAATTTGGCCCCCAGAGGACATTTGGCAATTTCTGGAGACATTTTTGGTAATTACAATTGTGTTGGAGGACAGAGGCTACTAACATCTAGCTGGTAGAGAATAGGCCTCCCCAGTGAATCATTATCCAGCACGCAATGCCTATAGTGCTGAGGTTGAAAACCATGTTATAGACCAATAAGCCAGAATCATTGGGGTTGGGACACAAGCCTCAGTAGTTTTTAAAGCTCCCAGGTGATTCCAATGTACAGCCAAGTTTGAGAATCATTGCTTAGTGTAGTGGTTCTCAAGCTTTCAAAGCATCAGAATTACCTGGAGGGCTCATTAAACCAGATTGCTG